TGTTTGGGGGACTGTACCATTGGGGTCTGTTGTCAGAAAAACATTGCACCAAGGCACTGGATTTGTCATGCTGTCATTTAATGAGATCACATTGCTCATCAAGGTTCATTTGCCATGCATAGACAAAATAGATTTAATTAGCCCGACGCCTAACGCTGTGCACATGTCTGTGGTGTTTCCTCAGAAAATAATGACACATTTTCATGTAACCATCAAGTTCTAATTAGACTGCTGGGTTTATGGAAAGCATTAAAGTTCAGCAAATGTGCTGCCAATTAGGCATTGTTGACAGGCATCTATGTGTGACTTTTTCTCACTTGTCGCTTCGTTCGTCTGTTTGTCAGTCAGCTTGGGTTCATTGTTTTTAGGGGGAATTGATATGCTAGTGTACAGCTGAGCCATGTACTGGGTCATTCAGCCTGGCAGTGACTGAATGGTGCCCGTTGTTGGGCTTTTTCAGCAGGATCCAGCACTTGCCAGCTAGCAGGAGCGTGTAACTGTGGAAATGGACCCCTAGAGGCAGCATGCAGGCTTGAGGGCTGGGTGTGGAAGTTAAGCAGGTGGGAAGAAACGTTGTTCATTTCCACCAAGGTTAAGGGTCAGGATAAGAAAAGAGTTCACCAACACATAGTTTATGAATGGAAGTGAATCTTACAAGACTGGAGGCCCTTCAGTAGGTCAGTTGTATTTGAGCAAATGAGCACACTATACAAATGCTGTCTACAAACAGAGACCATTATTCTGCACTGTAGGACAAAACTGCTGGATTGTCCTGCAATTAAGTGAACATTAAGTGACAGGATGTTAATTAACGAAAGTTTATTTAAGCAGAAAACAAACGACAATGCAATACATAAACGAAAGCATGTCATCTGCCAGTTGTTTTTCAGCTATCTTAAAGATTACGCCTCATTGAACAGTTCTACATGAACGTTTTAACCACCTACAGCAAAACATCTCCAATACCCAAAGCTGTAATTTTATGATAAGTATGGCGTTATTTGTAGGCGACGTATATCATATTTAGCGAGCTGTCAATGCGATATTTCCTTGCCTGACCTCTTCTAGACAACAATGTAAATTCACATCAGTATGTATATGCTTGTAATGAAGTTAAATAAACGGCAAGCCTCTTCCTTGCTCACTCTTTTACTGTGACTGATTTATGCATTTCCGTGGCGTTTGGTCTTAATTGCACAGTCACGCATGTGTGTGAGTCAGATGCTGTCTGATGGATGACTGAATAAGAGAGTGCGAGTCGTCTTTCATTCACTGGAGTCGCTCATCTCGATGGAGGGAGATCTGGCGTAGCAACATGTGGCAGGTGGTGAAAGAGGGATGGGGGTAGAAAAAAGAAAAGATAGAGTACATCAGGCCTCCCTTTCTGAGTCTGCCTGCAGCAACAGATACATCAGTTATACCACCGTGTTTGAGAAATGCTAGCAAAGGCTGGTTGGGGTTTAGGAAAGAGCAATATGTTTATTCTATTATATTATATTCTATAGAATAGAATTATTCTATTCTACGCCAGCCTCTTTAAATGAATATTCTGTTCTGTGTTCAGCAGCTTAAGCTCAAATGACAGAATTTTATATATATATACACATACATATGTTGTACACATATACAACATTTCTGCAAAGTATTACGTTGCTTCTTACAATGGCTCTAAAAGCTAGTTCATTTCAGTTTTATCTGAAACGGATGAATGTGAATCTGAATGTTATTTGTATCGCAGAACTTCGGAAATGAAATGTCCAGTGAGTGGCACTTGGAAACATTTAATGCTCTATTGTGTTAGAATATAACATAGCTCTTACACTAAGCCCAACCCTAAACATAATCAACAGTGTTAAATAAAGTAAACGTGAGATAAAGATGCATTTGCTGAAGCAGTCATGCCATCTTAGCTTGCTTCCACAACACTTTGAGCTCTTTTATTTTTACTTGTGTTTCACCGCGCAAGTGAAAATTTTTTTGGTATATATATATATATATATATATATATATATATATATATACACATACATATGTTGTACACATATACAACATTTCTGAAAAGTATTATGTTGCTTCTTACAATGGCTCTAAAAGCTAGTTCATTTCAGTTTTATCTGAAACGGATGAATGTGAATCTGAATGTTATTTGTATCGCAGAACTTCGGAAATGAAATGTCCAGTGAGTGGCACTTGGAAACATTTAATGCTCTATTGTGTTAGAATATAACATAGCTCTTACACTAAACCCAACCCTAAACATAATCAACAGTGTTAAATAAAGTAAACGTGAGATAAAGATGCATTTGCTGAAGCAGTCATGCCATCTTAGCTTGCTTCCACAACACTTTGAGCTCTTTTATTTTTACTTGTGTTTCACTAAACTCGTACCAGAGTGCTTCGTTTTGCAAGTACCAAAGGCTGGTTGGGGTTTAGGAAAGAGCAATATGTTTATTCTATTATATTATATTCTATAGAATAGAATTATTCTATTCTACGCCAGCCTCTTTAAATGAATATTCTGTTCTGTGTTCAGCAGCTTAAGCTCAAATGACAGAATTTTATATATATATACACATACATATGTTGTACACATATACAACATTTCTGCAAAGTATTACGTTGCTTCTTACAATGGCTCTAAAAGCTAGTTCATTTCAGTTTTATCTGAAACGGATGAATGTGAATCTGAATGTTATTTGTATCGCAGAACTTCGGAAATGAAATGTCCAGTGAGTGGCACTTGGAAACATTTAATGCTCTATTGTGTTAGAATATAACATAGCTCTTACACTAAGCCCAACCCTAAACATAATCAACAGTGTTAAATAAAGTAAACGTGAGATAAAGATGCATTTGCTGAAGCAGTCATGCCATCTTAGCTTGCTTCCAGAACACTTTGAGCTCTTTTATTTTTACTTGTGTTTCACTAAACTCGTACCAGAGTGCTTCGTTTTGCAAGTACCTTGCTCTACCAGGTGTGCTACCGAGCATGTTTACTATGTTAGAAAAGTCATGCATATGGAACTGAATATATGATGCAAATATTAAAATGTATAGTCTACAAACCATACACTATGGTAATGATGCTTTGAGGTCATAATGTATTTTTGAATGGTTCCTTGCACAATAATAAGTCTGTAGTAATTAAGTATGCCTCTTTAATCATAATTAGTGTGAAAAGTAATAAACGTTGTTGGTATTTTACTGCCAAGTGTGTACATTTCAGCTGGAAACTTCAGTGAATTGGATGTATTTGCAGTTTTGCAAAAATATAGATGGAGACAAGTTTTGTCAGTAAGCCTATGTCGGGTAAAACTTTAAAAACTGTTTATTTGAGCTGTAAAGTTCTTCTCTTCATTTGTATGGTTCTTTTCAAATTAGTAAGTGATTAGCCCTGAATGTCAGCAGAGATCAGGACAACTAGATGAGCCCCAGAGACAGATCCCCAGTGAAGACCTTGTCTCCTAGAAAGCCACCACGACAAGACCACAGGAACCAGATGAGTCCTCTGCACAATGTGACTTTGCTGCAGCCTGGAATTCAATTCAATTCAATTCAAGTTTATTTGTATAGCGCTTTTCACGATACAAATCATTGCAAAGCAACTTTACAGCAAATTAAGTTTCTACAATATTCAAAAAAAAAATGTAACTGCTGGTTTCGTTTGGCCAGAGGAGAACTGGCCCCCCGACTGAGCCTGGTTTCTCCCATGGTTTTTTTCTCCATTCTGTCACCGATGGAGTTTTGGTTCCTTGCCGCTGTCGCATCTGGCTTACTTAGTTGGGGAAACTTAATTTCCAGCGATATCGTCGACTTGATTGCAGCTGGATGACGACATCACTGAATTCAATGATGAATTGCCTTTAACTGAAAATTGAGTGTTTACTATTGTCATTTTGCATTATTGACTCACTATTTTCCTAATTAATGCTGTACAGTTGCTTTTGACACAATCTGTATTGTTAAAAGTGCTACATAAATAAAGGCTTGACTTGAAAAATAAAAAAATGTACTTGACTTAGGAGCTCAACTTCGTTTAACTGAAATAATACTTTAACAATAAAAGTAATTTAATGAAACAAAGCAATATGTTTGTCATAGTTACATTTGCTTTTTAAATTTGTATACAGTATGGTTTCACTAGACTGAATTCAGTTTCCATAAGGCTAAAGCTGGGATTCAATCAGTGAATCCAGGAATAAAGTGCGAGATGAGTGTGGCTGGAGGTCTACAATTTTCCCCTTCGTGGCCCTGGAGTTCTGCCCCAGACAGATGAGTCGACTCTTGTGTGGGCAGCACAGGGTATGACCCAGCGTGCAGCCAAAGCCACATGTTAATGCGAATGTAATCCCCATCCTGCTATGGGATGATCCCTGTGAACCTCTGCCAACATCACCATGCCTGAAAGTATGCTCTCTGTCACGCTTTCTAGTAACTGAAACATCAGCCAGGCAAGCTATGAGTATGTTTATGTGTGGGTTTTAATCAGTTTTATGCATAGCTCATTTTGCCATACAAAGGTCAATACCGCACTAATACACTAACACAGCATACTTTCCTGAAGCATGTTATGTGATTTATTATTGTGGTTCTACTTTTTTTTTTCCTACTTTTAATCAGATGTTTAACCCTACCATATCTGTATATATGTGTCCTGAGCAAAAATAGTAGCTTTGATGTAGAAAACCGAAATACATTCACTGTGAATCTATTCTAATTGAGCTTTCATTTTAGGAAAGATACATGCTAATGTATGTGCATTTAAAGTGCTTATGTTTATAATACGGCTAATTTCCGAAAACATGTTAGCAAGGAACATTTGCAGTCTGTGAACCTTAGCAGTGCGGTAAGTTAGCATTTAGCGCATCTTTAATCTGATGACACTGCAACTCCCCAGAAAATGGGCATGTGATATACAGAATTTAAAAGAGCCATTTACTCCGGGCTGAATGACCTGTGATGATTGCTACAGATACTGCCAGTCAAGTACAGTCACCATCGGGAGTAAATAACTGATAATGCTGCTGTCAGCAGGCTCTTTAACCTGCCTAATTACAAATGAGTCAGGAAAAGAGAGGATGAATATAAGGGAGACTGGGGGCAAGATGTCACATGTGTGTCTTTATCTTAGTATCTAAGATTTTGAGTCCAGTTACCGTGTTCCTAGCAGTGACATTGTATGCTATTTTGGGGTGAGTAGGAAATTATTACTTTTTTTTCAGCAAGGATGCATTAAATTGATCAAAAGTTACACTTTATTTCAATAGTCCACTTGAGACATTCTACTAACTGTAACTAACTACATGTCAACTAACTCTCATTAGAGCATTTGTAGACTGTTAGCTTAGGGTTAGTAGAATAAGTTGCCAGACTTGCAAAGTTACTTATAGTCAGTAGAACGTCTGTTGAGAAAACATCAAAATAAAGTGTCAGCAGATATTAAGCAGACAGTCTGCTAATACTCTAACGACAATGCATCATGTTTCAACAAAAAATATTAAGCAAGCAAAACTGTATTCAACACTGATGTTAATAAGATTTTTTTTTTCTTGAGCAGCAAATCAGAATATTAGAATGATTTCTCAAGGAACATGTGAAAATTCAGCTTTGCATCACAGACATAAATTATATTATATATAATATATTCAAATAGAAATGTTACTTTAAATTGTAATAATATTTCACAATATTACTGTTTTTACTATATTTTTGATCAAGTAAATGTAGTCTCGGTGAGCATAAGACACTTTTTAAAAAAACATTTACCATTTTTTAAAATTGCCATTTCATTAATAGTTTGTTTCATATTGGTTTCACTTGTTTTAAATGTTGCTAAAAATCCTATAATAGTCAATGTGTTGGCATGACTTACCACATATAGTGTGACAACATGCCTTGCTGTTGCTACATGTTCAGTGCACTTCAACTTTTTAATAATATTTTGCTGTCAAGATTTTACGATTAATTAATACACCTAAGTATAAAGTGACAACTCGCCCAACTATTGCAACATCCAGTTTCTTTGTTGCTCTTTTGTTCTCGAGCACAGGTTATGAACATTTTCCAAATTAATTTCTGGTCACCACAAACGTTAAAAGCTCTAGCTTTAATCTAGAGTGTTCTCAAAGCGTAACGTTCACTTTTATCACTTATCTGGCATTCTCAGCGTGGGTTCCTTGTCTTAATGTGGCGGTGATGCGACAGTTAACGCGTTTCAGAATGCAGAGCAGGCGGTCAGTGATAACCTCTACCTACCTCTGAAGAGAACACTGCAATCTGGAATGAAATCTACTGATGGCCCGCTCTAACTGTCAATCAGCAACCTCTCTTCCTCACTTTCTTTTGTGTTATTGGGTGAAAGGTTATGTGAAAGACATTGCAGCAGTGTGTTATGGGTAACAACTAATATCTGTTCACTATATGTTTTTAATCATCTTCTTTTCTTTTTTTTTTTGCCCCTCAAATGGATGTTCACCTCACGCTGGGACTCTTTTAACAGGTATGCATTCCACACTTAACCATTTCCCCATTGCCTATGGTTTTCCCTGATCAGCATGCTATCCATTTTGGCTCCTGTAGGAACATGTAAGGGCTTTTTGGCCAATGTTCCCTGTTGGGTTTGGGAACAAAGTAAAGATTTGTCACCTAGAACCCCTGATGGAGTAGGTATCACACCATGCCTTAAACTTCTGAGACCCTCAGACCTACATGCTGTTATTTTTTGCCATGGAACACAATATTTTGTATGAATATTTACGCAGTCCATTTCCATACAACATTTATTCATATAGGACCATCAGAAGCGTCATAAAAGTAGCAATACACTCTTAATGGCAATTGTGTTTTGGCATATTGTTTGATACAGTGCCATTCACACAACGAGGATAATAATTATAATGTTTCAATAATTGTTCTAATTATTTAAGAATAAGGAAGTTCACACCACAACTGTAATGGTAACAGCACAGAGGAACAACATCATTGGAACCACTTTAAAAACACTGACAGCCAATCAGAATCCACCCGACCATTTAAAGTGGTGGATGCCACAATTGCGTGCTTATAATAAAGAGAATGTTGTTGTCTGTTGGTGTGGAGTTATTGCTATAGTTATTGTTCTTGGCAGAGTTGTCACGATGCTGGAGTTTCTAAATTGGATACGATACCTTGAAAGATATCGAAGTTTGATGCCATTTTTGATACCATGGAGAAAAACTGACACAACATTAAGAGCATAACATTTTAGATTTTTAATGAAAGATAAATATGTCAAGGCTAAAACATGACAGTGAGGTATATTTTTACTAAATGAAAACTGTAGGTGGTAAAACTCTGTTGAAAAACTAATGACTTTCCAGGAAATCCCTAATGTGGACAAATGCTATTGATGTATCTGAATAAAAAGAAAATAGAAATGCTTTGACTGATGAAACATGAAGACTATAAACGCATGACTGTGGCAATATATGGTTTATCTGGGTATTTTCATAAGAATAAAATCTATTCATAATGCAATGCTACTCGACACGGCATGTATTACAGTAAAGAATGCTATAACATAATATATTTTCCACCTCATTCTATGATAAGAAGCCACATCAGATCACAACTGAAGTTATGAAGTGAGTTGGGAGTAAAAATGTTAACATTTTAAATATTTCAGTATCGATATGTATAGAAAAATAATATTGTAATAATATATAATATTTTTGACAACACTAGTTCTTGGTGTGAACAGAATTTATTTCATATTAATTTGTATGACCTCATTTGTACGTTTTCTATCATTTCTATCTACGTTTACCATCTGCTTATTCCCAACTTGCATTTAAGTGTGGACCTTCAAATTTCTATTTTTATTTATTTTATTTGTTTTGTACAAACCATATCATACAAATTCATATGAAATTGCCACCTCATAAAACAGTTACATTAGTAGCCCATACAGCTTTAGAAGACTAGTAACATCGCATCATATGGAACATGTTTATGGAAGCTATATGAAACCCTTTTAAGATTCCTTTAATGCCATTTCTCTCTCTCTCTCTTTGGAGCTTGACAGCTGCCGTCACATTAAATGCCGTTGTATGAACTAGAGCTGCAGATCACTATGAGATCACTATAAACTTCTCATTTTGTGTTCTACAGACAAAATAACAGTATATGGGTTTGGTGAATTCAAATTGTTGGGTAAACTATTCCTTTAACTGTTAGAAATTTACTGACAAATTGATCAACTTCTTTGCATTGCGACATCTGTAATTCTCCAATTGTCTGTCACCAAACGCTTGGGAATAAAGCTGGTTGGCACAATGAATGTGCTCACACCGAACACTGCACGATGGATGACAATAGGCCTCTTTACATAATTGAAAAGCTAAATGTAAAAATGTAGAATAGAAGCTAATGAAACCGCTTCTTAAAAATGTGTCCTTTCAGTGGTGCTGTCATATTTCAATTTAAAACACAATGCAAAGCAATATTAGGTTCCAATGAGGCATAATAGAGAACAGGACCTGAGGTTACAATCCAATTCCAAACACCGACCATGATGGAAAGTTTGAACAAGCAGCCATTATTTACCAAATAATAAAATGACGTTCACCATTATTAACCTTTTTTCCTATTATTTCTATGCCACTGTGGTAATGTACTATAAAGGTTGCACTTTAGCATTACCATAATTAAAATGGACGCCTGAGGCATTGTGAGTGAGCTGTAATAGATCATATCATTATGTCGGAGATGCAAAGACACAGATCATTGGCTACTGAGGATGAAGTCAAGTGATTGGGAAAAATATTGCATTTATTGCTACAGTTAGTTGCTAGCAATGAAGTCTTGGTTGCACAAATGTTTGTTGTTTGTTTTCCCCAGAAAATGAAAAAGTATAGTTCCTTATCTTGTATTTGTTATTGTAGCAGGAAAAAAAATATCTCCTAATAATCTCTCATTAAAAAGCTAGAGAGTTTCTCTTAACAGTGGGTGAGTTTTTGAAGGCGTGAAAACTCTGGCCATGGACTGAAAGAATAAAAGTGTTTGACTGACAGCTGGATAACACGGTATTGATTGAATCTCGCGCCCAGTCTGTGTCTCTGCCTCTCTCTGTTTTAGCTGAGCTTTGTTTGTTTGGTTTCGTTTGCCAATTCTCTTTGGTTATTACATCGCGTGGAGCTCAAGTTATTGCCTGGTTTGAGAGAGATTGACAATCAACCATCATAGCTAATCCCACCTGTAAATGCCAGTTCATTGATTTAAACTATTAATTTGACATGATTTTATGGCTAAGACTTATTTAGATTTAAATGCCAACACTTATAATGCCAAAATGGGTATTTGCCTTTATTGTTTATGACATAAAATACTTAATTACTACATTAAATAAACACTTTATGGTCTTTCAAAATATTGAATAAAGTGTACCAGGTAACAATACATTTAATAAAGTCAGAACCTTTATTACATTTCTTTTAGTGTATTTTTTTAGACTAGAAAAATTACAGCTGAGAAAGAACGACGAACAAATTGAGTTTATAAGGACAGCAAATGTAATTTAAATCATATCTCATATTATTTTTGCAGCTTATTTTTTATTGCGAAGGCAAATTTCATAGCTTGAGTTTTATGTCTACTAAATACACAAAAATAAGTATTTTCACACTTTGCATAAATTTACTAAATTCATTAATGATTACTGACTGGCAACGGAAATTTTCTGTTCACAACTGTTATTTATTTTTATTTTTCTTGGGCTCTTCACATCTATCATGTCATATTTTAGTCATATGTCGCCATTATTGTCAGACTTGTGTTCCCGTTGTGTTGTGTTTTCCTCCTCCAAGTTCTCCCTCGTGTTTCCTTATGCCCATATTTGGTTCTTCCTGTTTCCTGTTCCTATTATGTTTCATTGGTATTTCTATAAAGTGTTTCCGGTTCGTTGTTCTCGGTCCGGTATTGTTTATGTCAACCTCCTCTGCAACGTGTGTGTTTCCTGATTCCCTTGATATTATTA